GGAGCGGAGCTACTTACGTCATTAACCTTGAAGGGCTAGGGTTTGCAGGTCGAGAGTTCCAGCGGTTTAGGGTTTAGGCAAGAGTACAATAGCGCTCTACTGGGGATGATAGTCGGGATCTCAATGTTATTAGGCCCCGTTAACTGAGGCTAGTTCAGTAGTTAAGGATTTCGTGCGAAGGTTTGGGGTAAGGCCCAAGCAAACTCAGAATCCCAAAGTCCCAAGACCCAACCTTAAGGCTACCCTCAGCACTAGACCCCAAACCCTAAACTCCAAACTCCCCTACAACCTCATAAAGCCATGGGCATCCCTACTAGAATTCGCGAAGCCTAGTAGAAGCCTTTGCAGGAAGCCTACTTAAAGGATCATGGGACTTAGTAACTAGGGTTATTACTGGGGTAACTATACTTATAATTACTTATAACCCCAATTAAGGGATCACACGTACCAAGTCCCATGATCCTCCAAGTACTCTACATCCCGAAACACTTAAAAACCCCAGGGTCGCAGAGCGCTTCCCTTGGGTGGACTTGGCCGGCTCCGAGCTCATGGATGAGGAGTTTGTTTTAGAGCTCTGGGGCTGAGACTTTTGGATTTAAGGTTTAGGGTTAGGTACTGCCCCCATACAGTAAGAGTCTATAATAGGGCTACTATTGAGGTCCTAATATATCTATATTATGAATATTACTCAACTATTATTGAGTGGGGGCCGTACCCAAGGTTCAGGGTGCAGAGGTGTTCAGAGTTCAGGTTGCGAGGCAGGGCGTTGGGCTGTAGGGCTTTGCGTGTCGATTCGGTTTTCCTCTTGCGATGTCGTTTACTTGGGGGCAGGGGGCTTAGTAAGTATGGTCATAAGTAGAGTTAACAGTACCCTAAATGGAGTTACTTACCCCAATTATAACCCTACTTATAACCCTACTTACTAAGTCCCCTGTCCCTCCAAGTGAGGTTGCCAGAATAGGGTTTGGGGCTCCTTTATAGTATAGTTATAATAAGGAGGCCTGAGGAATAGTATGTCGTTTAGGGCTCTTGTTGTTTGAGGGTTTCGGGTTTAGGGAGTTTATGGCTGGCCGAGGATACCAGGGCGGAGTTTGAGAGGGCTCCTTGTTGTTGAGAGTTTTGGGTTGGGGTTTAGGGTTTAGGGTTTAGGGTTTAGGGTTTAGGGTTTAGGGTTCAGGGTTTAGGGTTTAGGGTTTAGGGTGGGTTGGGTTTTGGGTTGAGACTTGTTGGTTGAGGTTAGGGGTTCGCTTAGGGTTGGATCCAGGAAACTGCTGCGCCACCCTAAGGCCTCCACTGAGACAAAGCCCGATCCTCAGATATGGAGCTTGTTTAAGGGAACGGTGGAGCATCCGTTTCTGCAACTTTGTCCTGAACTCTCAACCCTAAACCTTGGTCTTGAGCCCCAAACCCCAGAAATAATTCGTGCATCCAACCCCACCTGCTCTGCGAGGAGACAGCCCAGGCGGGACCCTGCGGAGTTGGAGCAGAGAGCCTTCCAGCCCCAAAGCCCGGGATGCCCCAAAATTTTTCTAAATCCTGAACTGCCCTAAACTCCTAAATCCATACCACCCGCTGAATGCCCAAACTCCTATATGGGAGTTTCCGAAAATAGGGGACCCTGATAAAATTGTACCCTCAATAGTAGGATCCTTGTTACAAGGACCCGAAAAATAAGGTACCCCCCAAGTTTCGGTCTCACCCCTGCATCCCCAAAGACCGAAACCTCGAGACTCTCGCTCCTACGCTCCTACTTGCAGGATCATGGGACTTAGTAAGTATGGTTTAGGGTTCCTTTTAATAGAATAGGGTTCCTTAAAGGGATCTATATATAGGGGTTCTATGATGGGGATCATGGGACTTAGTAAGTATGGTTATAAGTACCTGAATTGGGGCTATAAGAAATTATAAGTATAGTTACCCTAATAGTAACCCTAGTTACTAAGTCCCGTGATCCTTCAAGCAAACCCAAGGAGAGCCGCACACCTGTTCCCAAAGTTCCGAAAAGATCTAATGCAGGAACCTGATTAAGAAACCTTGGGCCTTCATTAGGGCTCCTTATATGAATCCTTTTATTTTGGGGTTATGTATAGGCCCAGGGTTTCTTAACCAGGCTCCTATACATTAAGCAATATTGGAGCTGCAATGATCTGGCAATGGTTATTTTGTGTACGTGTCCCCCCTATAGTCCTTATCTCAGCATGCTATACTACCCCCGCCCTCCCCGCCCTACGTCCCCCCTCAAAAAAATCACTCTGATGATTAAGGCATATACACAAAAGGGAGGACAGACTGCACCGCCGCATGCTGTAGACTCGTTTTCGGCCTAGGGTGCGCAGGGCGTAGAAGGGTTTGGTTTAGGTATGGTGTGTAGGGGTGAAAGCATTCCCGAACCTACACGCTAAACCTAAGGTTTCGGGCTTAGGTTCATGGGGTCGGCGACGAAGGCCAGCTCCTACTAGCTTAAGCGGTTGTTGTTTCTGGTTTCTCTCTCTCTCTCTCTCTCTGCCTCTCACTTCCTCTCCCTGAACCTTAAGCTCTAAACCCTGAACCCTCTATGTCCGTCTCTTTCTCTCTCTCTCTCTCTCTCTCTCTCTCTCTCTCTCTCTCTCTCTCTCCTTGTTTGTTGTCCTCAGAGAGTCGTTTGGGGACTTGGCCTCGGCTTGGAAGCCCAGATGCGCACAACAGATCAAACTGCAATGGTCCAGCGTACTGTAGTCATAAGGACCCTTAGGGGGGAGGGGGGTGGGGGGCCTCAATACCGCCCATAAGGACCTGATAAGGCTTTTTTAAGCAGTTATAGTCCCCTACCCCCCTCCGTCCCTATGATGTAACCCGGTTCAGAACCAGTGAAGAGTTGAGACTGCTATGGGTTTTCTCAGAGGTGCTTCCGGGCCTTGGCCGTAACGACACGTATGTTAAGTCTGGCAGCATCTTGGTGGCGCGACTCTTGGCTGAAGGCTCGAGTGCGAGTGAGAAGCCCGGCATCCGCAGATGATGTTGCTCGTTAGAGCAGTCGCGCAAGCAAAAATTGCAGTCCCAGGCTTGGGAGAAGTACGAAGTGTACCAGAACCCCATTCACCAAACGACCAATAAGACAGTGACAGCGAGACTCATGCGGACAACGGGAGCACCAGAAGTATCAGCTAACTTGGCCACGAGACAATGACAAACATACAAGCGTGGCGCAATCATTGCTCAAGCCCGTACCCTACAGACACTAAACGCAAAACCGGTACGACTCCTCAGAATGCCGACCCTCCTGCGCAGAGGGCGGCTTCCGCGCAATGGGCTTCCCCTGCTTCTGTTGTCACTTTGGGGCATTGCAGACCATGGTCCCCTGGAGCACATGCGCTTGGGAGGTGTAGGGGGAATTCAAGGCATCAGGGTTTGTGGTGTCTGAGTCTATACCCATAAGCCCTCAAGCGTAAAGCTTAAACCCTGAGTGCGACTCTCTGAACCCTAAACCGTAAACCTTCAGCCCTAAATCCTAAACAACCGTAGAAAAGGGATGTAGAAAATTAGAGGAAGCGATGCTGCCATAGGCTCCAGTGTCTAGTCTAGGGTGCTCAAATTATGTATCGATGGGGTAATTTTGAATTTCCGCCCTAAACATAACTAATTTTAGGAACTGTTGAAATCGACACCTAATAAATTAGAAGACAGGAATCTAGGAACTTGGAACATGCTTGTCCTCACAGCCTTTAAGTAGAGTCTAGGATTCAGGGTTTATCCCAGGTTTTGGGTTCATCCTAAATCTATGTTGCAACTCTTGAGAGGGGTGTGGGGCTTGAGGTTTTGGCTCTGGGAGGCAACTGAAGCCTCTTTGAGCTAGCCCCTCCATCATTAGCCGCTTTTGCAGCACCAGCTGTTCAATACAGGGGCGTGAGTAGCTAGCAGACTCTACTATCCATGCTCAGTCTCTATCAGGCATCCTAGTGCTCAGAGACACTTGCAAAAGATCCTTTACAGTCACGGCCCACCACCGAAGTCGCATCAAATCAGCTATGCATAGGAAAGGGAACGTCCTGCCGTGACAGCATTTGCGCCCATGACCCTCCGGAAAAGCCACAGGCCATGAAGCCCAACACGGTAAGGGATTTAGGGTATATGGGGGTTTCCGAAAATTCGGGGTGCCTTATTCTGGGGGTCCTTATAATGAGGATCCTACCATATGAGGGTCCCCTCTTTTCGGAAACTCCCAAACATAGGGTTTGGAGGTATGGGGTTGAAATGGCTTCCCCAAATCCACAATGACTCTCAAAAACATGCTTAGGGGCTTCGGATGTTTTAGTGTTTAGCGTTTAAACTCTCAACAACAGGCCCTACCAAACCCTAAATCCAAAGCCCTCAAAGCCTAATAGTAAATCCCTAGCCCAAAAGACCCCAACCCTAAACCCCTGTAAAGGGTCCTTTATAGATCCCTTAAACGGAACGCCCCAAACCCTCATTAAACCCTAGCTCATCAGGCTTCTTCTGCCTGGTACCTGGAGCAGCTGCGGGTCCCAACCATCACGGCGCACTCAAAAGCCGGGATGCCGGGTTTCGCGCAGTTGAGGTGCTTGGGCTTAGGGTTTTAGGGGCGAGGGTTTCGTATTTTGGGGTTCCGCGCAGTGAAGGCGGTTTGGAGCTTGGGTTCAGGGGTTTAGGGGTTAAAGTGACAGGTTGGTGAGGTGATCGTTTTCAGGGTTTCGGGGTTTGGAGTTCCGGGATGTTGGTGGGTGCACTGTGCTTTCGCGCACCGGTGGTCCCTAAAGTTTTCCTGGACCCCAAGTAACCTGCCCTTTTAAGGACTTGCATAAGGAAACCATAAAAAGGAAGCCTAACAAGGCAGGTTCTCCAGGGCTCAGTCAGACCCCAGAGGTCGCACTTGTAAATCCTAAACCCCTGTGCCCAGAAGGTCGAATGCTTAGAGTCTCAAATCTGCATCAACCATGTCCCGGAGGTTGCAATCCCAGATGCATCGACGCCGGAATCTGCAGATTTGGTGAGATTTACTGTCTATGAGGCTACTGTGGAGGACAGCAGGGATACGCGCTTTTGGCTCAACACGAGCAGTTTTCTTCGCTTGTTTGTGAGGTTGGGGTGGTTTCTCCTGTTTCCTTCTCTCCCTCTCTCTCTCTCTCTGTCTCTGTCTCTGTCTCTGTCTCTGTCTCTGTCTCTGTCTCTGTCTCTGTCTCTCTCTCAATCGCAAAGGTACGGAAGTCAGCTCTGGCCGGCGGCTGTGTGCATTGCGAGCGACCTTCTGCGTATGCCAGAGATCGTTGAGGGCGCACCCAGGCAGAAAAATCATGGCCTGAAAAACTACCTATAGGGTTCCTTTAAAGGGGTCTATAAGGGTAGCTATAAGGATATCTATAGTAGGGTACTATATTATAGGGGCCTAAATAAATTCCCAGTACTATTTTGGGGGGCTCCTTGCCTTCATTATATTAAAGTACAATGGGCACCAAAAACCCTGTTCTAATTTGTAAGGTACCTTTGGTAGTGCCAGGGACTGGCGATCAGGCCTGAAAATTGCAAAAGCAACCAGTTGGCGAGTCCTGCATTGCGGCCCCAATGGAGCAGCTCAAGCCACGCCCTCGGAGCAGTGAAAATCTTCGCCAACCGGATTTCACAGCAACAGCAGCAAATTCAAATCTGCGGGTGAACATAGCGACCGACAGATACTTTCGTATTCATCCGCAAGCGTGCATACACGTACGGGTACATACATACATCTGTACATACAGACATACATAACTACATGCATGCATGTATCCATCAGTCCGTTTGGGTGCGTGCACGTGCGCATGCATGCATATATACTTACGCATGCATGCAAATGTCATGAAGGGGTTCTTTCGTTCTGTCGCTAAATAGTCCACTCGTCCATTTGTTGAGTCAGTCATTCAGGTATGTATGTGTTGTGCTCTTTCATTCTGTCATACCCCCTTTCCAGATAAAGGGATACAGGGAAACCACAAAGAGGCAGAGGAAGAGAGATAGAAAGAGAGACAGGGCATGCGAGAGGGAGAGAGGGTGAGGTACATGGCGACGCAAGCATCGGGTCCCAATGCTGCCACCTGCATCACTTGTCACTTGTGGACATGCATTCACTGCTTCGTCCTGTCACAGCTTTGCCCCTCTTCCAACGCAAAAGGCCATTCACTTGAAACCCTAAGTAGATTGCACGCGGCAAACAGCAACCTCGTTCTCACTGAGCCACAGTACCGAGGCTAAACCTTGCAAGCCTGCCCTGTGAATCCAGCTGGGTGGTTGTCAAAATTATGGTCCCTTTTTGGGTCCCTATTATAATACGGCACCTATTATTTAGGGTACCCACCCAGTTTAACTCAGGCTCGTGTCTTGGAGCTGGGCTGCGGAAGCTTTGTCATAGTTGGGTAACATTTCACATTTTCATGGGTACTTAAACCCAATAAGGAATAAACATTTAAATTTTTAATCCTATCCCAACCATGAACTAGGAAACGGTCTTTGCTCATTGGTTGCCGCCTCCCTGGGAGCACGGTCTGTGCTGGCAACGGACTACCGGCCATGCGGGTTTGGGGTTTGGATTTTGGGGTGATAGGGGTTCAGGGGTTAGGGTTTGGAGTTTGGGGTTTTAGGGTTTAGGGGTTTAGGGTTTAGGGTTTACGCGTTTAGGGGTTTAGGGGTTATACGGTTATAGGGGTTTACGGTTTAGGGGTTTAGGGTTTGGAGTTTGGGGCTTTGGGGTTTAGGAATTGGGGGTTGAGGGTTTAAGGTTTAGGGTGGAGTCTCGATTCTGTAGATGCTGGCTTGTGTATTCTGCAGCTTGGGCTGAGTAGGTACACAGCGCGCGCGGAGGCTTAGTTCCAAATGCTAAACCCGAAATCCCCAGACCCTGAACCCTAAAGAAATATTGTGCCTACCTGATCATTGCAAGCTTTGGCTCGTTTAAGGCGTCGCCCGCTGGCGTGTCGCGACCTCAGGCGCAACCATAGCATCAAAGGCACGCCACCAAGAACATCGAAGCAAGCCCAGTCGCACCGAGGAGCATGACGACGTGAGCACCGGGGACGTCCGGCTCGCAGCAGAGCGTGTGCTTCAGACGCGAGGCTTGGTACCAGATGGATGTTTCCACATCACCCTGATGCACAACAACGCCATCCTAACGACCGACATCCAACTCGCAGGCAGGCAGCTTTAGAATCACGCCACGGCACAAGCAAGAGCACGCCGAACCTGATGCGAGACATCTCTCAACTGCGGGCAGGACCCGAGCTTCTGCAGCGGAGCCTGCCGCGAAGGGTGAGAGCCGGGCACAAAATGAGCCTTGCCGAATGGCAGTACCGGTGCCAGCTCGCCGAGCTGTAACAGGCAAGACCCGCTCAAAACACAACGCAGCCTGCACATCGTCCTGACCTTTGATTCGGGAGCCTGGTCTTTCAAGCGTGCGAGCACTTACACGCCGGCCCAGCTTTCGGCTGAAATAAGACAGCAAGCCTCTCTTGAAAGTGACTCACAGCCAGCATGGCTTCGATGTCGAGCCATCGGTGCTGGCGCTGGAGCGCAGACAAGCCCGGCCGATGAGAGGCCAGAGCCGATGCATGCCGTTTCTCTTGCACACTCGGTGCTGCGGTATGGCGCTACACAGGTGGGAGCCGTGCCGTGGAACCTCGACTATCCCGATTTCTTTGATGCCTTCCTGACGGACCTTCCAGAGCCACGCGTCGGGCTCCCATATAGACCATGTTAGACGACACGACAACCCGTTGTGTATGTTTCCGGTAGTCAGGCCCACATTTGGCAACGCCACGAAGCGCACGAAGAGCACTACCTGTGCTACGAGCGACTTCAACCAGGCAGCATAAGATAGCCATGTTCCTGCAGACTCACTTCCCGGACATCAAGAGTGACACACTGACGACAGGTGTGCCGACGTACTATCACGGATGCCCTCTCCACTGCATCACGGGCATCCTGCGTTATGGCCTGCTGCCATCGAGCGCGCACGACTTAATTTGCTTAGCCTGGAGTCAGCGCATCGACACCGAAGAAATGTCAAAGCTTGACTTACGCAGGTTGCAGGACGGCACGAATTCTGGCGGGCGGGCATCTACGTGACGCCGTCGCTTGAGACGGCGTGCTGGTATGCCACGCCGACGCGGTTGCTTGGAATCACAAGTGTCACACAAGCGTCACTGTCAGAGCATGGACGAGCAGATTGTCAACGAGCAGCCTGCGCAGGCTGGGCCCCGTCCCGACGGAAGGCTACCCTCCATACTGCCGCGCAATACTTGTCGTCCAGCCCCGTCTACGAGGCAAATAGACAACGACTCAGCACTACTATTCTCCTCGACGCTCTTGCAACCGCGCATACATGTGACAGGTGATACTGCCGCCCAGCCAAACAAGATACGGCACAAAGGGGGCGAGCAGTACATCTTCGACAACACGGACGACTTGTCCATCAAAGGCGCAAAATCAACGGTGAGACGCCTTGCAGGCGCCACGTCAGGCACAAGCCCAGCTTGCGTCCGTCAGGTATAATCGTGCGTCGTGGTTTCCACTTGACTGACCGGAGCGGTGTCCTGCACATCAACAGCCACCAGGCCACAAAACGGGCCTTGCTTTCAACCGTCACGCGTGCAAACGTTTCGACGCAGGACTTGACGAAGTTCTACCCTCCGGACTACGAAAACTTCCGCTTGGCAGTGGAAACCCATAGCGGCTTGACACAAAAGACTGAAAGCCCCCCCGCATATTGATATCTCCAGCAACCAAGGCTTGGATGGGAGTCGGCTCAATTCCAGTCGCAAGATGCAGGTCAGTTGTGCACGGCGGCACCGAGGTCAAGCCGCTGCAAGCGCTGCGCGGCGACGTCCACCTGTACCAAAAGAACAACCCGTCGTGCGAAGCGACCCAAAAGCAGAGCTGCGTGCAATGGTGTAATCTTCACACGTACCAGTCCGAGATCACGCACGAGCAAAGCAATTTCTTGCCGATGCTGGGTAACGTGACCAGCTCAAAACTTGCGCCTGTCCGAGACGCCTTAGACACGAAGCTGCACCTCCGACTTGCAGGCGGGCCTTGCTGTGCAGTGTGCCCCTCTCGTCTCCGTCCCTCTCCCTCACCACACGCCAACCCGAAAGCGCAGGACTGCCGCCAGATGGGCAACTCAACATCAGCGGCCGACGAACGCCAGACCGGCAAACCGTTCAGGCAAGCACGACTGCCAGTACAGCAACGAGATCACAAACGACCCTTCCAGTAGACTCAGCAAACAAAAAGCAGGTCAAACGGCGAGTGGTGGTGGTACCACAGCGGCAACTGGTACCACTACACGGGCGTGTCTCAGCCGCAAGCAGGCAGCAGCGCGCACGCACTCAACACGCGCACACACAGACACACGCGCACGCACAAGCTCTGCATAACAACGCCAAAGAGCACCCCGGCGAATACCCGAGACCCAGAGAGGACCCGCAGCATCCCATCGCCACGCCAGGAACAGGTCTGCCACGGGGTCCCTGCGATGGGATGGTGCCGGTGGTCGCGAGAAGACGGACTGGACTTCAACGTCCCCACCTTAGAAATTCCGACGCAGCCGAAGACAAGCATTAAAGCAACAGCACCGAAACGACGACGACGCCGAGGACTTCTGGCCAGACAACGGACTGGAGTGAAGCCACCGCCTGAGTCCCACAGTCGGCTCAATTCCAGCCGCAATAATACAGATCAGTTGTGCACGACGGCACCGAGGTCAAGCCGCTGCAGGCGCTGCGCGGCGATGTCCACCCGCACCACAAGAACAACCTGTAGCGCGAAGCGACCCAAAAGAAAGACTGCGTGCAATGGTGTAGTCTTCACACGTACCAGTCCGAGATCACGCACGAGCAAAGCAATTTCTTGCCGACGCCCGATAGCGTGACCAGCTCAAAACTTGCGCCTGTCCCACACGCCTTAGACGCGAAGCTGCACCTTCGACTAGCAGGCGGGCCTTGCTGTACAGTGCTGTCCTCTCGTCTCCGCCCCTCTCCCCCACGCCCCCCGCCCCTCCCCCACACTCTCTCTGCATCCTTCTCTCGCTCTCTACCTCTCTCTCTCTTTCTCTCTTTCTCTCTTTCTCTCTCTCTCTCTCTCTCTCTCTCTCTCTCTCTCTCTCCTCTCTCTCTCTCTCTCTCTCTCTCTCTCTCTCTCTCTCTCTCTCTCTCTCTCTCCGTCTCTCTCTCTCTCTCTCTCTCTCTCTCTCTCTCTCTCTCTCTCTCTCTCTCTCTCTTCCCTCTGTGCCTGCCAACCAGCTAGCCTCTCAAAAATCCGTTTTTGGGCTTGAGAAACACCTCCCTATGAAAGAAAGTGCACCCGCTAGTTGACCAGGGCGACTGCTACGCTGTCGAACCCTAAACCCTAAACCCTAAACTTTGACAGTTACTATAAGGGCAATAGATAGTCTAAATGACCAAAAGTTACTATAAGGGCTTCTGAGAACGACCATAAATTGACAAATTACTAGAAGGTACTGCTGCCATAAAGTTTTGAATTGAGGGTAGGATTTGGGCTGGCGCGGTGTATTCAGTGTTACGGTTCAGAGATAAGTGTATGACTATGAATAAAGACGTGGGCAGGAGGGACTAGGATGCAACTGCGCAGTGCAGCAAGAACCCGTGTCACCCGTTACAGCGATTTTAACATCAGTACATCATAATTATGTATTCTCCGTTCAGTTTTGTTCAACTGAGCCCTCAAGCGACATCTAGATCCGGAAAGTGGCAAACCCTGGGGATCAAAATAGCCCAAAAGCCTTATATAACATAGTATGGTCGTTGGGCCTAAAAGCCTTAATCAAGAAGTCCTTAGATCCCTAGTGAAAGAGGCAGTTTCCCTTGGACTTGTTGCGCAAAGCTGCCGCCACACATGGCAGCTGGGCCAACATGTTTCGTGACTTCGGGTCTTCGGAAGATGGATGTGTTTCATAGGAGGCCAAAAGGGGTTTTAGCCTGTGGGGGTTTAGTAGGGGTTAGGGTTCCCATAATAGGGTTCATATTAAGGAATCCCTACCCCAAGAATCTTCAACCCCCCTTTTGGCCTCCCATCAGTGTGTCGTTCTGAGATTGTTCTGTCTACAGGCATCTGCCCTCTCGGAGATATCTGACTGAGCACCAGCGGTGTGTACCAGTCGACGAAGATCCCCAAGAGAGTGCAATGCTGCCGGAACAGCTTGGTCGACACTGCCCGCTCACTACGCTGTACAATAAGTCCTGCAGAATTGGTTTACAGTTAAGACGAATGCCACTTCCGAAGGCCACTTCCGAGCTAATGCAAACATCTACACTACTCCCAGAACCCCAAATCCTACACCCGAGGTATTGTGCACGAGGTCGGGCTCCGTATCTTTGGTCTTCGCTTGAAATCCCAGAGCCTACTGTATCATCTTAAGGCCTGTATCCTAAAACCTGAACCCTGTGCCATATTGCTTAAATCCCTAAACCTAGCTACTAAAACCTTACGAAGGAACCCGAAAGAACATTATGAGCAATGGGTACGGCCCCTCAAACCTTAGGCCCGAAAATCACTCTATTGTCTTGAGGTTAAAGGACCTTCGAAGGAGCCCTTCGAGTAACCCAAACCTGCAAAGCCCTGATAGAATCCTTATAGGACCGTTACAGAAGCCTTTTCGGAACCCGTATGATGCTCTTGAAGAAACCATTGCAGAACAGTTATGGCACCCTCAAGTCAAAGGTACCCGTTTATTAACCTTATCGTATCCTTCAAGGTGCCCCTTAAAGGAGCCCTCATGCCGTCTAAGGTGTCCCCTAAACCCGTAAACCCAAAGCCCTAAATCCCTAAACCCTACTAGATCCCCAAACCCTGAACCCCTAAACCCTAAACCCCTAAACCCTGAAACCCCCAAACCCCCAAACCGTAAATCCCTAAACCCTTAAACCCTAATCCCTAAACCCCCAAACCCTAAATCCCTAAACCCTTAAACCCTAATCCCTAAGCCCCTAAACCCTAAATCCCTAAACCCTTGAACCCTATGTAAACTCCAACGACCCTAAGCCCTAAGTCCCTTTAAGGAGCCCTTGGAGGAAGCCCTCTTCTTCAAGGATCATGGGACTTAGTAACTAGGGCTATTACTAAGGTAGCTATACTTGTAGTTGCTTATAACCCCAATTAAGAGACTTATAACCATACTTACAAAGTCCCATGATCCCCATCATAGACACCCTATAGATCCCTTTAAGGAACCCTATAGATCCCTTGAAGGAACCCTATAGATCCCTTTAAGGAACCATGATCCTCCAAGTTGGGCCTCCAGAGCTAAGGAGCGACAGTCTCGGAGAAGCTCGAGACGAGGGTCTTGGACTTCGCAGAAGCCCGGTTTTTTATTTTATTTTTTTTTGTTTTGGGAGGGGGGGCGGTTCTGTATTTTTGTTGCTTTTGGGGTTGTTCTTTATTTTTTTGTTACTATGTTGGGTGTTCCTTATTATGATTATAGTGTAGCATTAGGGGTTTAGGGGTCTGCGGTTTAGGGTTTGAGGGTTTGGGATGTGGGTGTGTAAGGTTTAGGAAGTTTAGGCGATGGAAGATTCATGATGTAAGGTGCTTAGGGTTTAGGCAGCACTGGTGGTGTAGGGTTCGAGGGATTGGGTACCGCAACGGTCTAGGGCTGAGGTGCTTAAGGGTGTAGGGTTTAGGACAACAGGTTAGCCGGTTAGCCAGCTGAACCGTCTTGGCAGTTCTCTGGCTAACGTTAGCTAGTTTATAAGCCTCTGTGCATTCAGGGTGTCACCGTTTCGCATTGTTACCATGCGCATTATTCCCACCAACAGCGCGATCGCTATTATGACGACCACTATCTTTGTTCGATGTCGGTGTTGAAGATTTGGTAATTTACTACGTGGAGCTTTTGGTGATTTCGTGTTTCGAAAAAGCTCCGCGACTTGACCCGCAAGCTTGGTACTTGGGGTTTAGCTTTATTCGTCTTGTTCATCATGTCATACTGTACTGTATTTGGGAAGTGTTGGGTTCAGTGGCGTAAACCTCAGTATTTTGCACTCTTGATTTGCTTAGCTGGCCGCAAGGACCCAATGCCCTCTGCTGTCGTCATGTCAACTCGCCATCGTGCAGAGAAGGCGGGCAACGTCGTCAGCGATTGAACATCATCAGCATATAGTAGGGCACAGTGTAGCAGCCCAAATAGAGTCAATATAGTATAGCCTTACACCTTGTGCTCTAACGTCTTCGGAGGAGAACTTCACCCTTATGTAAGCCCGAAGCGCTAGAAAACATCAACCGTACCCTAAACCCCAAGAGCCCTTAACCCTTAAACCTCCCAAATAAGCAACAGCCTTGCACCCCGGAGCTCTTGGCCGACCCGACGTGCAGCGCTTGCGGGCTGCTAGAGTCTGGAGATAGAACGAACCCTTAATAGAACCTTTACTTGGTTCAAGATTATGAATAGAAATAGCAATACTAATCATAGCAATAATACGAATACTAGTGCATATATATAGATGAGGCAACTCCGCACCGTCAAAGTCTCCCTGTAACACTCCTTCAGACCTTTGGATGGGGATGGGTGCTGGATGCATGAGTCGGTCTTCCGTGGGCTTTGATACTGCTGATGGACAAAATCCTGCATTACCCATTATAAGGAACATACCATAGTTCCCATAGTTTAGAGTCCTTAGGGTCATGCAGGATTTTGTCCATCAGCAGTATCAAGCCGTAGACCGAAAGCCCTAACACCGGAGAACTCCAAAGCCCAAACCCCGAACCCTAAACTCTAGCCTAAACCCTAAAAGTTGTAGGGTTTAGGCTTAAAAGGAATCCTAGGCCCCAGGCTGGCTCCCATGTCAGACCGCAACCCTGTTACAAAAGCAAGCCAGTCACGGGACGATAGGTTCCTCCTCTTGCACTGACACTTCCGGATCACGACGTCCTCGTTGCCGCGGACGTGGGTTCCTTTGCCATGGTGTAGACGAACTCAAAGAGCCCAGCACTGCAAACCTGTCAAGGGCTTCATATGAGCTTCAATTCGGATTCATTTCGTAGATCCCATAAAGAAAAGATCTTCCTTAATCATATTAGGGATCCCTCTAGAGCTTCTCAGGTGTATCCGGCAAGTGAGGGGTCTTGTGGGCATTGGCCTCTCTGTGAAGTCGGTGTCTTCTGAACACAGGGTACCTGACGATGGGCCCATATAGGGAATCTGACATAGCACTCCGACGGTTTTTTTTGACAAGAGGTGTCTTTCAGGAGCTTGCTACAGTTCCTTCCGAAGTTGCTATTGCGAAAGAACAAGCCTTACTTCAGGCAGGGCCGATCCAGTTCCTTCGAATTTGGGGGTGGTTCGGGCTCAGGTGCACGAAGGAAACTCTTGACACACTTTTCAGGAACTTTAGAGCCCTGAGCTTTAGATTTATACCCCCTACACCCTGAACCCGGACTCGTGAGCTTTCTGGTGGCATGGTGGCAGGTGGTAGAACCGAGGTCTGTAAGGGGTTTAGGGCGGTTTAGGGCACTGCTTAGGGCTTTAGGTACTTCTTTGGGTTTTGGGTTGAGTCTCTTTGACAAGAACAGCAAAGAAACTCAGGAAGAACAGTAGTTGAGGCCAAGAGACTGCGACGAGGAATGCGAGTAGCTGCCGCCGATATAGTCGAAACGCTCATTGACCGTCATTGTAGTAACTATCACGGACAGCACCGAAATGATAAGAATGATTACGACAGGAATCTTCAACCTAAACCCCGAAACCCCTAAACTTAGGGGTACTTGGAAGTACTTGTTGGTTGTTATAGTCCCTGAGAAACAGCTAAAATTATAATATTTGCTAGGGTTCTAAGTTCAGTATAGTAAACAAACTACCCCCAAACCCCCAAATCTAAAACCCTAAGCGGGCTTGGTTGGGCGACTTTAAGGCTGAAGGTAAGTGCTGAGGGCTTAGGGGTGATGTGGCATGAAGAGATCGAGGCTACTCCAAAGCACTTGCTTGGCGACTGGGCTGCCTGGCTGCCTGGAGAATAACTAACAAGAAGAAGATCATGAATACTAATGATGATAATACTAGTAGTTGTATTTGTTTTTAAGGCAGTAATCACAACAACATTAACAACAATAGCAATAATAAGAAGACGAATAAGCAAAATTAACATAAATAATGTGGCGGGCTATGCAGTGACCGGTCGACTTATTTTGGGCCTGGGCTAGGCCTCAGGGAACCCGACCCGCTAAAGCCAACAATCCAAAGGCTGCTCGATGCTGAAGCGCCAGCACCAGATTCTACTGGGCTTACCTTTGGTTAGTAGGGAATGGATGGGTGGGGTGCAATTATAACTACTATTACGACCGTTCTTCCATTCCCTACGAACCAAAGGTAAGTTGGAGAATCATGGGACGTAGAAACTTAGGTTATTATTGAGGTAACTATACTTATATTACTTGTAACCCCAATCAAGGTAATGACTTATAACCATACTCACTAAGTCCCATGATCCTCCATGTAGCTCGGGGCCCAACATCTCATCCCAAACCCAGAAATGCGCTGACTGAAGCCTTCGCTCAGCATCTTTCCCGAATGCCTGAAGACGTCTAATTATTAGGGCCCCTATATTACGGCAGTGTGACAGTTCCTAAAGGCTTTAGGGGTCTGTCACTAGTTAGCATTTTACACCCAAACCGACGAAACTTTGAAGCAACGTCTCCCAGAAGCAGGGAAAGGGAAAGGGTCTGCATCCCGGAACTTGAAGCCTAACTCCACAAATCCTACATGCAATCATCACCGCCCATCAATAACAATATTAGTACTATGGGCGCCTAAATAATAAGCGATACTATTTTGGGGCTCCTTCTTATACTGATAGTATAATGGGCCCCAAGACCCTTTGGGCACAGCTTAACTTCTAGGAGACCCCCAAACTCCCCGTCGATCCCACAGTTTAATGTTTATGTTTCAGGGTTTAGGGATCCCCCACTAGGTGAGCACTGCCGAGAGTCCCTGAAGAAGGGAAGGCCTCGAGGGAGGGTTTTTGCCGGGGCCTAAAACCTAAACGGCCCTAAACCCCTGAACCATGAACCCTAAACCCTGAACCCTAAACCCCTCAGCCCCTAAACCCTAAACTTGACCCTCAAACCAGAAGCCACTTTTCAGGCCCTGGTCGGCAGTGACATTGGCTTTTTGGGGTTTTGTCTACTGCCCTAACCCTTCAACAGGGGGAGCCCTAAGATTGGGGACATGCGGTTGAGGAGCTTGCAGGAATTCGTGTTTAGGTGCCGGCGGTTTCTGCGTTGAAAGCAGGGTGTCCAATAAAGAATCGAAAGCTTGCAGAGTTACCAGTACACTTCCCTAGGGTTCCTTAGTCTAACTACGGCCCTAAACCCTAAACCCTAGACCCTAGACCCTAAACCCTAAACCGCTCTAACTGCATACCCCAAAGCTCCGAGCCTGTCGGGCTTGGATATTTCAGGAGGCGGGGCTCTTAGAGCGGTGGGTTTCTGAGTTTGCTATGGCCCTAAGAGGTTCTCCTAAGAGGTTTTGAAGTGATACACTAAACCCGAAACCTTAAACCTTAAACCCTTGGGGTTTAGGGCACTGTTCTAGAGTCTAGAGGGGCTCCTTTAGAAATCTGAGGGGAGAACCGTCGAGGGGTTTCTTGCAATCAGAGCGGCAGCGACGCCTGAAGGATCCAACCATAACCCCATATGCCCCGAGTCCTTCCTGCAAGCCAAACTGAGCTAACCTGTAGGAAATGCCTAGTCCGAGTCAACACGCGGGTAGTTCTCCAAATTTGGGCCCCTTTTAGCTCCCCAAAACAGTACCGCACTCCCAGTCCCCCGTAACCTTGAATCATAAACCTTTTAAGCGCACAGACGTAGCCGGAAAACGGAGGAAGGATTCGGACAAAGACAGATCTGGGCTACACTAGGAGGATGGTTCAAGCAAGTTCGGCCATGAACCCCGAACCTTGCTACATGAAGGAGCTAAGCAGGTAAACCGTTAACCTTAGACGCCAACCCCAACCACAAAAGGGTAGTTATCAAAATTATGGTCCTTGTTGGGCCCCTATTATAGTACGGCACCAAATATTTAGGGTACCCAAAACGGGACCATAATTTCGACAACCAGACAAATAGAGGATCAAAGGCCTCGAGGCCATCAACCCTGAAGTCTGTGAAATTCAGCCCTATACCCCGAAATCCAAACCCCTAAAAACCCAAACCTAAGCAACTTCAACCCTACACTTTCAGTCATAAAACCCTCAACCGTAAAAGCCTGCCACTGCAACCAAAAACCCTCGACCTAAACCCTACAACGTGTAATGCCAACGCCTGAGCAGAAATTTGAATAAGTCGTTGTACTATGCAGGAGGGCTCCTTCTTACAACTATAGTGCCGGAAACCCTATTCTGATGAATGCGGCCCGCAGGCTCAACCCCAAGCGACAAGATCCGAAGCCCAAACCACGCACCCTAAACCCCAAACCTTGAACCCCAGACCCAAAACCCTCAACCCTGAAACCATGTGCTCCTGTGCCCCTGTCCGGAGGCGAGTGCTGGTTTGTGAGAGCCGACAGATGCCGGAGCTCATGGGTACAGACAGGGCGGTTGAGGGTTTACCTTAACCCCACAAAATTGTAGTATCCTTAAGGGAGGGGGGTCCAAGGGGGGTATATAGCCTAGTGATCCCTAATTCTCCCTAGTACTCCCTAAGGTCCCCTTACAGTCCCCTAAGGATTCCTTATACCCTCCCCCCTTGAACCACCCTCCCTTAAGGATCCTATAACAAAACCGACCTTTCTTCAGAGATTATATTGGGAAGCCATAGTAAGGAACCCTGGAGGGCAGGCTCCTGAGTACTCTAGAGGGATTAGGGTCTAGGATGGTCAGGGGTTCTTGGGATTCCAATCGGGGCGAAGGGTTTGGGATTTAGGGTTTAAGGGTTTAGGGTTTAGGGGTTTAGGGCTTTAGGGTTTAGGGGTTTAGGGTTTAGGGCTTTAGGGTTTAGGGTTTGGGATTTAGGGTTTAAGGGTTTGGGGTCTAGGGGGAAGAGTTCTGGATGTTACTGGTTCAAGACTTTGAGGCTTTAAGGGAGTCCTCGTACTCCAGGTTTTAGCGGTCGACAATCCGGTACGCACGGTATGATATCTCAAGTACACGGGCTCAGGGACAAACTCGAGCTTTTGCTGGCCCTCGGAGGGTGGGATGAAGGTACTACTCTACCGACCTCCCCGGATCCTTTTGCTTTGACCTTCCATAAACCTTATATATATATATATTATACAATATATAATATAATATCATGAACCTCAAGACTCCTAAGACCGAACATGTGTGAATGCTGGCCAAGATCCAGCTCCGCATTTCGATTTGGGAAGGTGGCAGAGCAAAGACCAGAGTCTTCCGGCCTGCAGGCTTGTTGTGTGGGAGGAGGAATCTGAAAGCTTGAAGCAAGGTTTAGGGTTTCAGTTTTTCTTATAGGTTTAGGGTTCCTCGTTTGGGGTGAAGGTTTGAAGGTTTTGGGTCCAGCATGCTTGAAAAGCCACTCCGCTTTCCTTGCCTCCGGCGAAGGAGTGCCGCCTGGCCTTCTCCGAGGCATTGAACCTTGGTCGGGAGCGGGTGAGGACCCCAGAACTCCATCGAGAGCGTGGGACAAACAGTGTGTTCAGAGGTTTGCATGGGCTTAGGAGTTGAGAGAGTAGGATTTCGGGCCTCATTTAAAGTTTGCAACTTCAGGCACTCGACACCAAGCCTTACTGCCTGCAAACCCTGAACCCTAAAACCCTAAATCCCTAAACCCCAAAACCCGAAGCCCCCAAACCCTAAAATCTTAAACCTACATCCCTAAAGCCTAAAACTCTCGACCCTTAAAGCTTTTTCGATAATTGCTAAGTGACAATAAAACTGTTTCGGACTGGCGGCCTTACTTCCCGCAAGACTCGGCTGATCTTTTCAATGGAAGCCCATAGAAGGGTTTTAGGATTACGGGGCTTTAGGGTTTTATGGTGTAGGGGTTACAGCTACGGTTCGCTTCACTAAGTAGACTCTGTCCACTCCGGTCAGACCCCTTAAGCTTAGGTCCATCGTCTGGAATCTCGGACGCCGCTGCAGGTGCAGGGTGGGAGGGCAGCTTGATCCTGTACTTACGACCGTCGTGAGGTGTTCGTCCCTGGGTACACACCCAGAGACGCCAATGCCAATACATATGAAAGAAAGGAAACATACTTCCAGGTATTTAGGTTTTTATGTATGCATGCATGCCTGGATGCATGGATGTATGGACGTATGTATGCATGCTGTATGCATGCGTGCATGAGCAGGTGGAGACTGGTGCACTTCGATGCCGGGAGTCCATACCAAGTCTTTGGAACCATGGCGACGTTGGAGGATTTAGAGTTTAGGGCCTAAGTTTGAGGGTTAGGGTGTAGCACAGGAGGCCTGGTCGGCAGGGGCAAAAATTAGAATAGGGCTTGGGTAGGTATATTATAGTATAAGTACTAGGAGGAACGCTGAGGAATGGTATTGTCAAGTTTTTTTTTGTAGTTAAGGTTTTGGGCTTAGAGTTCAGGGTATAGGTCACCAGGACAGATAGGTGGCCAAAAGCCCAGCAAAAAAAAAACAGCTACTACAAACTACTAGCAGGATGTGATAATACGACGAATGGGTCCGACTGCATCTGCAAGAGGAGTAGCGCCTTCAAAAACCCGGTTGGCGAGACAAAGAAACCAAGCCGTAGTAAAGATTTGCACAGCATTTTCTTGAGCCGGTGGCTTCGACAGCCACCTGAGGCCACCTGGGGCGTTTTATATAGGATTGAAGGCTCTCGGGCTGAAAGGATGCACCGGAAGACACAGCATCTCCTGCGAAGCTTTCGACAAATAGCCCACACCTCAAACACTAAACCTTATAAACTACCATCCTAAATCGAAGCACGCAGCTCCAGGTATTTGGATGCCACGGGAGGCTGATGGAACCGTCATGGTTTGGAACTTGTTTTCTGGCTTTCACACCTTCAAGAAGCCAGGGGCATCCCCAGAGTTCGTGAATGACGACCGTCGGTCGTGGTCATGCCAAGATGCTCTGGGCTTATGGATGCAGGAGACCGGGCTGACTACACTTCGTGTTCTGTGGAGATGGTGGAATTTCCTGCCAGGCAACCTCTCGTGGAGTTCGAAGCACGCCATGGTTCTAGTCCGGATGATTCTGACGACGAGGGCAGACACTTGGTAAACAACCCTAGCAGCCAGGGAAGAGTGATGCGCGACGCAGCGGTGGTGACCTGATACAGCTGCTACACGTCTCACGGGAACCGCCCTACTCAGCAGCTTCGTGTGCAAAGGCTTGAAAAGAGGTGCAGCTGCAAGATTGGCCGCTATAATTATACTGTAAGGTTTCTGAGCACTGTCAAACTCTGGGATACAGTGTACTTGCTAAGTTTGTACCTATTTTGTGTTCATCTTGACTCTTGACATGGACTGGCTGGATTCCCCCAAACTCTACACTGACTCTACACTCTACACTCAAGGCACGAAACAGTCGCATCCCAGCAGGCGGCTGTGCGAACGTGGCCTTTTCATTTGAGCTTGGCGGTCCTCGGAAGCCGCCTCCAGTGCCTCGAGTGGCCGAAACGCCACCCAAGTCCCGAGTGAACACGCAGGTACCCCTGCAAAAGTCTAAAGCCTAAACTATAACCCCAAAATCCGTGAAGAAGTCAAAAACCCTAAACCCTTGAACCCTAAACCCCTAAACCCTAAACCGTGAAAGCAGGTGAATCCTGCGGAAGTCACCACGAAGATGATGGATGCAGCCGTGGCCAATGGGGCCTCCTTGCGCCTGGGTGCAGTCCGACTCCCAGCCTCAAGCCCAGCGTGTACGAGGACCCTGACTTCAAGGGGTCTACTTGGAGGATCATGGGACTTAGTAATGATAAGTACCTTAATCGGGGTTATAAGTACATATAAGTATAGTTACCCGAATTATAACCCTAGTTACTAAGTCCCATGATCCTTTAAGTATAAGGGTTACTATAAGGGGTCTATAAGGGTACTATAGTGTAGGGGCCTTAGTGACTAGACTGAGGTTTGGGAGTATATTATACTATAACAATACATAACTTGGGATCTAGAAGGGTTCTATAAAAGGGGCGTTAGGGTTGCTTCAAGGATCAGGGGACTTAGTAATTACGGTTATTCTGAGGGTAACTATACTTATAATTACTTATCATCCCACTGAAGGTATTTACTTGTAACCATACCTACTAAGTCCCCTGATCCTCCAAGTAGGACCCGAAAGGAGCTCAGAAAGTAGATGAGCTCAAGAAAGTTGTTGACTCTGAGCCCGAAGCCTAAAAGGGCCTAAAACCTCAAACCCCAAACCTAGAACCGCACACCCTAAAGCCCCCAAACATCAAAAACCCCAAAACCCTAACCCTAAGATCGGCGGCTGTCTCACTTCATGCTTCGAGTTTCAAAAGACTGAGCTCCTGCCCTAATCGGTAAGCCCCAAACCCCTTAATTAAACTCCTGAAAGGTCCCCTGAACCATAAGCCCTGAAACCCTTCAACCCTAAGCCTTAAACCCGAAAGCCTTAAGCGCTAGACCCGAAATTCCATTAAACCCTACTATAGATCCCTTAAAGGAGCCCTTAAGGATTCCTTATAGATCCCTTTAAAGGAACCCTAAACCCCTAATACCAAAAAATCAACCGGACCCTTAAGCCCTGAACTCCTGACCCCCAGAGCTCTTACTGCGGAGACCACTGAGGTCGAGGGACTGCAAAGAGAAGGAGACCAGGCCGTTCTCATCCTGTGCCTAGCGTTTAGGGTTTGGGCTTGAGAGTTTTAGGTTTGGGGGTTTGGGGTTTCGGGCTGAGGATTTTGAGATAGGCTTCGGGCTTCAGGGTTTTTTTTTTAAACTTCGGAGTTTAGGCTGTGGGGGTTTCAGGATTTGTGTGTTGGGGCTCCTAAGCTCAAGACTTCTGAATTGGCTGGTCGAGGGGCTTGATGGCCTTAAACTTCGAGAGTACGATCGCGGCCTTTATGGTTTCCAATACTGTTTTGGGGTTCCTTATTATAAGTATGGTAGAACATGCCCCAAAACCATCTTTTACTTATTGAGGCCCCTTCCGCATGTCGTTGTGGCTGCTGCCTCAGACTAGCGACGTGGTTTCGCTTATCGATTCTGGGATTTAGGAGTTTAGGAGTCAAGGGACTTAGGGGTCTTCGAGTTTAGGGCTTTTGGGCTTCAGGAGAAAAGTGCTTTAGTTTAGGGCCCGGGCTTTGGGGTTTTAGGTTGTAGGGCCCTAAAGTTTTTTAAGTTTATAGCGTTAAGGTACAGAAAGCCTGTCTAGGTAAGAGAGCCCCAGAAATTCACAGTGTCCTGGGCAGATGCCTGAGGAGCCCGAGAGTTGGCATTATTACTGTTGAGAGCACTATTCCCAAGCCGAATACATCTAAACTAGACCCTAAATCCTACACCCAAAGCCCTAAACCCTAAACCCGACTGCTCTTGTTCTTTCATGGAGCTCCTCGGTCGTCGTTTTTCTTGCTGCTGCTGTTGCGGCTTTGGTCGTGTATCGTGTTTCTGGCTGGGCTCTTGCTGAAGAGTTTAATTATCATAGCAGGGATTTATGGCAAAGAATCTCGTTTCTTTATGATGGTGATTTAACAAGAACCCAGGATTTCGTTGCCCTTCCGTGTCCTAGGTTCCAACCCGGAGCCTACTGCGAAAATATCGCATATACTTGAACCTCAGCCCTGTGTCTCAGCACTAATGAAAAGCACCTCTAGAGAATAGTCTTCTTTTTGAGCAGTATATCCTAAATCGCATGAGCCGCAACGAGCCTCTCAATGCTCCCACTCCTGAAGTGCACCAAGTAAAGAATGGGCAAGAGCAAGGTCTAGCCTGAAAAGCAACCCTTAGCTCTCAACCCAGGCTCCATCCATCCCCAACCCTCAACCCTAAACCTTGAACCCGAAACCCTCAACCTTAAACCCGAAAGCGTAAACCCTTTAACCCGAAGCCCTACACCCCAAAGCCGATCGGGCACGAAGTCTGCAGGTGAAGGGTGTGCTGGTGAATGGCGAGGTCGCCCAACTCAGCCTAAAAGGGTTCCTCTGCATGGGATCCGTGAAGAGTTTCTCTAAGGTTCCTGTAGCCTTCCTTTAAGCGTTCAAGGTGTCAGGTTTCTGCAGAGTTTAAGTCATGACAAGGATTTAGGAGCCCTGAAGAGTTTAGATTACAATTTTGAATAGTTCTTCAGCCATAAAAGGAGCCTGACAAACAACAAGACTGTAAGTTGTGGTATGTTTGAACTAAGGGATATGGGCTCTCTGGGTTCTGCAGCTCCGGTTCCGGGAGGAAGGAAAGAGTTTCAGGGTGTGAGGGCTCCCAAATGCTGCCTCATGTGATCAGAGCAGCTTTGGGGGGTGGACTATAAACCCTAATGTAGGAACCTGATTAAGAAGCCTTGGGCCACTTATCAGGGTTCCTAAATCAGGGTTCCTTATATGAATCCTACTAACTGTTTTGGGGTTCTAGGCCCAGGGCTTCTTAATCAGGCTCCTACATTAAGCCCCAAACCCTTCCATACACCAGCAGCCTGCAGCGAGGCCCAAAAGCCTTTCAACCCGGCATAGGGCTAAAGCCTGAAAATGGCGCAAAGCCCCTTAAAGTAAACCCCAAAAAGTTGGAAACGAGATTAAGGACAAATAGTGCTGGGATTCCCTTTACATGACTCTTAAAGATTGAGGCTATTGGTTTCCAACTTTTGGGCTTCTACTGTAACCCCAAAACGGTAAAGCTCTAAAGCCCTAGAGCCCTAAACCTTGAACCCCTAAGACCCTCGAGCTCCAAACCGCAGAACCCTGCATGCTCAAAGCCTTGAGCCCTTTCACCAAATGGGAGTTTCCGAAAATAAGGGTACTGCATTTTGGGATCCTTATTTTCTCGCTCAGCCTGGCCTGAGGTTTCTTGCTGCCAAAAAGACGCTATGGGGTGCTTAGGCAATCCATTCTTGACTTTTATAATGATCAGCTTCTGGGTAATTCTCGGAGATCCCATGTGGTCAAGCCTGACTGGACCATGGATTTTCGTTGTTTTTGCTGTCACAAATACATCAACTTCTCTTCGGACCCGCGTAACTTGAAGTCCGGTTGCTCGTCTGTTAAAGATTTTTCTGAAACTACTTTCCGTGAGTGGCTATCCTCTGTTGATGCCACCTGTAGCGCGTTAGACACGATCATCGCCAATTTCCAGTGATTGAAACAGAACCTGTCTGTTCTTTCTGTCTCACCTTTGTCGCCTATGACCTTGTGTCCGCCAACCTTAAAATAAGGATCCTACTATTTTAGGGTACCATGTTAGGGTCCCCTATTTTCTAAACTCCCAAATTACAAGACGCCCCCAGAGCCTTTAGCGTTTAGGGTTTGGGTTTAGGCAGAACCCTTGCGCCTCCCCTAAGGCTGCCCGAGGAAAGCTATGGGCAAAAGATAAGCAAATAGATACAAAACGATCCAGCCGAAACCCCCCCCACAACAGAAGGTTTGGAAAAACAGCTGACGCATGATCCACCTTCAAAGAGCGTATACTCGACACAGAAAGTCATTTCCATATTCTAGTGTAGTACATTATGTCAAAGCGTATTCTACTACAGTATGTCATGGTCACTCCAGCAATGTGTTTATGACGGTCAGAAAGCAAAGAACGCTGAAGATCAGGTGGTTCCTTGCGACATCCTCGTGGTCGCCATGGGCCCCTGGTCCGTCCTCTTGGAAAAATGGCTTCCCGAGGTCGCAGGGGCTCAGGGCTTTAGAGGCATTTAGAGGTTTTTGGTGGATTTCTTGTTTTGGGTTTTGGGATCTTCTGGTGGTTTTCCGGTTTAGGGTTTTGGGGTCTTTTGGATGTTGCTTTTGTTTAGCTTTCAGACCGAGGTTGAAAATGCAGGGTTGCTATTGGCAGAGTGCCTCTCAGAAGGAATTGAATAGACAGATTGGTGAATGAATGTTTTAGGGCTTGTTCCTTAAACGAGCCAGTATGAAATACAAGGCATACTCTATATTTTTCAGTCTAGTACATATTACGTGTTCCTGCAACTCCCCGAGATCTTAGTTTCAGGTCACAGAGGTCCGGAATGGAGAAACCGAATCTGAGTTTGAGTCGCTTTTAGTCATAGTATAGTCTCCTATTGCGCCTATGCTTCTGCTACACTTAACCCCAACCTGTTCGATGATTGCCCTATCCCCAAGGGTCCAAGTACCTAATAATCATATACTCTCCGAAATCTTAACCTACATAACAACTATCCTAAAACCGAGTACCCAATTATTGGGTCCTTTGGACCCTTGGGGTATCATGCCAGGTCAAAGTGCCCATGGAAGGCGTTCTCAGCTCATCACTCCTCTTTCGGATGCCGAGGCTGGCTAGCAGATGGGAGTTTCCGAAAATTAGGGGTCCTTATATATGGGTGGTTGTCAAAATTATGGTCCCGCTTTGGATCATTATTATAGTACGGCACCTAATATTTAGGGCACCCAAAAAGGGACCATAATTTTGACAACTACCCATTTAGTAAGGATCCTACTATTTAGGGCACCATAGTAGGGTCCCCTCTTTTCGGAAACTCCCAGATGGAAGAACGCGTTCACGACCATTGAAGGCCTAAACCCACTGAAGTGGAAACTTGTGTTCTTCTGCTTTCGAGCTATCAGGTGTCTGAAGCTGCAGGCCCCTACGTCAAACCCGAATCCCGGATACCAGCACTGGGCATAACCAAATATGCGAAATGATGATAAAATGGTGATGTTCGACTGGTTCGAGCCGCCAGCTAGTAAGAAGACAGCAAGGCAGTGAAACTGCTCATGAAGATGAGAAGCTCTTCACACGAAGAACACACACAGCATTCACAACGTGTTCTCACACTTTACTAAGACATGCAAAACCGTGGCTTCAAAAGGCCAAAGTCATGGTTGCCTTTTCTGCATACGGGATACGTTGTGATGTTTCAGGGAGTCGCCTTCAGAACACCGAAGCCTAAGCTCATGTCCAGTTCCAGCAAGATGGAGGGTTTGGTCAAAACGGCGTTCATCCCTATGTAGCATAGGGCCCTAAATAATTACCAATATTAGTCTTAGGGTTCCTTACAGTACTTAAACTTTAAAGTTTAAAGGAGCCCGACACCCTACTCTAATTATTAAGGCCCATACATTAAGCTACCCTAGGTGAACTTCGTTGGTGAGCATGAGCTTGTGCCAGGCCGGTAGAGCCTCCATGTGCCCTCTTCTGTCAGGCGAGCTGGGCTGCGCTTTAGTATTCGTGCTGTGTGCTTTGGAAAGCTGCGTTTCCGACGTTGGTCTCCCATAAACCCCAAACCTGAAGGCCGGTTGCCCCTGTTTCAAGGCCCAAGTCTGTGTTCAGGCCTGACTCCGAATCTTCAACCCTCAAAAATGGGAGTTTCCGAAATTTAGGGGTACCTTACTTTGAGGTCCTGATGATAAGAATCCTACTATTTAGGGTACTACATTTGGGTCCCCTATCTTCGGAAACTCCCAAATCTCCGCACTCACACACATACACACCTTTGATCCAAACTCTCTGAAAGCATCGCCCCCTAAACTCTAAAACCCTCCATCCCCGAAAGTACGTTCGGGCACGTGGCTGCGAGGAGGACGACTTCGGTTGCCACCTAGAGGCCGGTTCCGAGGAGTTTGAGCTTCTAGGGAGGGTTTAGGCCCGTTTAGGCAGTACCAAGTGGCGGGTAGCAAGAAGTGAACGAGAATAATGAGAAAGGGCTAAATAAGCAGAAGGTGGCGAGGAATAAGCTATCAGTCGTGGGGCATCGTCGCCGTCGACTACTACTACTACTACTACTACGACTACGACTGCTACGACTGCTACGACTACTGCTGCTACTACTGCTACTGCTCCTGGCTGCTACTGTCACTGCTACTGCTACTGCTACTGCTACTACTACTACTACTACTACTACTACTACTACTACTACTACTACTACTACTACTACTACTACTACTACTACTACTGCTACTGCTACCGCTACTGCTACTGCTACTGCTACTGCTACTGCTACTGCTACTGCTACTGCTACTGCTACTGCTACTGCTACTGCTACTGCTACTGCTACTGCTACTGCTACTGCTACTGCTACTACGACGACGACGACGACTACTACTACTGCTCCGACTCACTACCATTACGACGACTCACACTTCTAATCCTGCTCCCCAGCCCTACCCCTACCCCTATCCGCCGAAGGAGCAGGGTTTAGGGCTCAGCCGCACAAGTTGCGATGGCAAGAACTTAGAACTTAGGGCTCTTGGAGTTTGAGCTTAGGCCGTGGATTTCGCATTGAAAGAGGCCCATCTCAGGGCTCGGGGGCTTCGATGCTTTTGTAAATTTCTCTTAAGTCTGGGCCAGGGGCTGCCCAAAACCGTGTCGATGTGAAATCATGCCCCGTGGTGTGCTATCCGAAGGCCTGATTAATTTTGTTATCAATATTAGTCATTCGTCCTTAGAGTTCAATTCTGGTCACCATCTTTGGTAGGATTTATTGTAACAGTTACAATAAATCATACCCCAAAGCCCTGCGAACCAATTGCCCTTTATGCAGTAATCTACCTTAAATCATCATCAGGTGCCCCGTAGATAATTGAATTTGTATTCCTTCTTTTAGGAGTGTTACGCTCTGCGGGTGCATGTCAGGTCAACCCCCGCATAGACGGAACCGTGTACGTTTGCGGATTAGGAGGCCCGGCGACCTGTAAAATGGGATTTGGGCGTGGGGTTCAGGAAGGTCAAATTCTTGAGTAGTATGGTGTTGGGTTCCTGTTTCGGGCTTGCGATGTGTGGTGCAGGTTCGAGCTGCCGACGCATACATATGCACGCCTCTGCGGCTACAGTTCGGAGAAGCACTTAAACTTGGTTACATTTAACCGGCATCCCTCGCATCCTTTGTGTCAGTCATTCCACCCTAAACCCTAAATCCTGAACCCCTAAACCCCTAAAACCTAAACCGTTTCAGCTCTCTCGCCGGTAGGCTCCCGGTACCTCAAGGAGCCGGATATCGCCAAGCTTCCACCGGAGGAACGACTTGGGCTTGTGAGTTGGACTTTGAGTTTTCAGGGCTTAGGGTTTAGGGTTTTATGGTTTAGGGTTTTAGGGATTGGGTTTCCAGTGTTTGGGGCTTTGGCGTTCCAGGGCTTGGGGTTTAGGGCTTCAGGGTTCTAATCATAGGGATTATGGCATGAACCCATAGCCTTAGACCCTGCGGCCGAAACGCCCCAAACCGTGAAGCCCAAAACCATAGGTTTACTGCCGAGACGGGGGGAAAGTTCCTTAGACTGCCTTAGATTGTGTTTCGACAGCCATCGGGTCTCCGAAGACGGACAGGAGCTTTAGGTATGACATGGTGTGGGGATGGCCCTAAATCCCTGAGCCCTGAAGAGCGTTGAAACCTGAAATTGCCCATGCCTTGAACGCCTGAGGATGTGAAGCCCAACCCCGTCCGTGTCCGGATCTGAGAGTCTTCAAGGTTCTTAAGGTTCAGGGTTTTGAGTTCGGCGATTTCTGTCACCTGGTTGGTAGTTAGCCTTAGCGGGATTGCTACGAGTCTCCTTATGATTGTCGAGTTTCTGTGCGAGCTAGGCGTACTGTTGCTGGTGTCGCTACGACCGAATTCCTCTGTGCTTGCTAATCATATTGCTGTTTTCATGGTTTTCTCACAGCCCCTGACAGGTGTGGCTCTCTTGTCTTTCCTGACAATCTGGATTGACCCGGGCCGGGGTTTTGGTATGACGGTGTAGGTTCAGTTCTTCGGCTTCTGAAAAGTTTTGGCTATGGCATGTTTTGGCTACTTGGCATCTGATGCCCAGCCTTGCTTCCAGCAGCTGGGGCTGCAGAGGATCACGTTTGATCGGGCCTGTCGCAAGGATCTGTCCGCTTGAGGCGGCAGGGCCTGGGGTCCACGGCATGTCGTCTTCTTCACTATCCTGCGATGGGGAAACTGCCGTAACAAAGGGTCCCACAGCTCAAACGATTGATGTGAATTCTCCAGTCCAGGCTGCCGTTCCACATTCTGGGTGTTCCTGAGCCTTAAAAACTGAAAGCCCCGCAAATCGTAAACCTTAAAACGCTACACATAGACATCAGCATCCTCAACGAGCGGCTCGTCGAGCCTCCCAGGTGAAGGCTGCCACAGACTCCCTGAGGCAGGGGTGGGGGACGCTTTCGGGCTTCGGGACGACACTTTCCTGGGGATCAAAATAACTCAAAAGCTTTATAGAGTATGGTCTTTGGGCCCTAGAGCCTCAATATATGAGTCCTTGGAGCCCTAGGGCCAAAATTCGCAGTTGTCTAAGGCGGTGGCAGTCCTAGTCGTCATCGCATTAGAAGCAGCGTCAGCCGTCTCTGGGTATTTACCGGGCCTCGCCACTCCGAGCCAGAGTAACAAGGGGAGGGAGGAGGAGGATAGACAGGAAAAGCCGCTCGGTGAGAAAGATGCTGACGAAACAACTGTACGGTTTCTCATGGGACAAGCGAGCATCAGAATTCATCAGAGGAGTAAGTATTCGGGGTATGCCACTGCCGCACCGAGAACAGATCACCAATTCTAGCATTCGTACACCCCGCCCCACACTGTTACACATCACGTCAGCGGGTTGTCACAGGACTACCATAAACGCATAACCACGCTGTCACCTCGACTGCATCTCGCGGAGGTTCGTGGCGAGGTCCGGGAACCAACCAGGAAGATGTCCAAATTCAGATCTAACCGACTTGGAACCCTTCTGACTTCTGAGTCCAAACCTGGTACGGAGAATTCCTACACTACATACGGTTGGTGATATATACATCCAGCATTTTACCCATAATAATAATGAATATGCCCTACTTCCCATAGTCTAGGGTAATTTAAGGTACTTCAGGATTTATATCATCCACCGTATGGCTTTGTAACGGAAGAGGAAGACCAGATCCCCTTCTGAAGCACCCGTCATTGTTGGCTCCTCACAGGGCCAAGACGAGTATCATCGAGGGCCTTGAGCCGGACCGGCTGGGTTTTGGGTTTAGGGCTTGTGGAATTTCGGGTTTTGGGGTTTGGGGTTTAGGTTTTTAGGATTTAGGGTTTTGGGTTTGGTGTTTTGGGTTTAGGTTTAGGATTCAGGGTTTTGGGTTTAGGTTTAGGATCCAGGGTTTAGGATAGACTCTACGACTAGGGAGGTGGTTCTTACTGCTACACAATAGAGACTCAACAAAATGCTGAGCTCAGGAATAGACCTTCAAGCATAGAAGGATCCTCCGTATAGTTTAAAGCGTGTACGGTATATAGCTACTCTCCTCAATTAATGGGCTTTGGAGATTCACCAGTTGCGTTTTTCCGGTACCTTCGAATCCGTCAGGATGCCGCCCTCAAAAGCACAAGTCCTGAGTGCCCCTCCTGCGTGCCAAAGCCAGGCCCCAAACCCGGTAAAGCCCAAAATTTAATAGAGGTGACTACAATAAATAATTACCAGTCTATACTATTGTGCGGTTTCCGTCTTCTGATAGTAGTATAATTTTCCCCAAAACCCAATTCTAATTATTAAGGCCCCTTTTTTTACGCTATAGACTCGACTCCTGGGTCATCAGGCCAGACCCTACACCAGAAGCAAGCACTCTAAGCTCGGCAGTCGACATCCTACCCCCAGCACCCTCAACCCTGGACCCCCAACTGAACCCAGGGAACCTTTCAAACTCTTGCAAAATGCTGGTGAAACCCTCTGATACTATGTAAGTTGCCGGAGCCAGAACAACAAAGATCTCAGAACTCACGGAAACCTTCAATGTCCTGAACTCCACAAGAGAAGCCCTCTGCGTTTGCAGAAGGAGTCGGCGGCTTGCATCCGCCCCTGCCCTCCAGATGCGAGGAGGGGGTTCAGGGCTTCGGGATTACAACGGCTTAAGGTTAGGTTTTGGGGTTAGCACTTACGGCGTTCAGGACTTAGGGTGAGGACTCCGGTTGTTTGGGCTCAAGCTTTGGGGTTCTTTCTTGTTACTTAACTGCTCATCCGATCCAGTTTCCGGATTCCTCTGGATGATCTCGATGGGTGACGGCATGCAGAGTGCTAAAGCAAGCATCATATAAACCGCCAGTAACAACACCGCCACCACCACAAGCACCACAACAGCTGTGAACCACGAGCGTTGGCGATAGCCACCACCGCCGCCGCCAGCACCAACATGGTGCCGATACCGAGCAGCAAGAACAACAAGACGACACCAGCAACAGGAACAGGAACAGCAACGACAACAACAACAACAACAACAACAACCACGACGACGACGAGGACGACAATAACAACAGCAGCAACAACAACAACAACAACAACAACAACAACAACAACAACGACGACAACAACAACAACATCAACGTCATCAATATCACAATATCAGCAGCAACTATTACCACGATAATCACAACCACAGACATGGGCATGATCGTGATCAGTATGCCCACCGTCATTGAATTTCTACATCGTTGTCCCCATCATCACCTGAGCCGCGCCATTGCCAGCATCATAATCATCATCATTCCCGACATCGGTGCCTGAACTTAGACGAAGGCACAAAGATCTGGGGGGTACGAAGAGAGTTTGGAAAGATTGTGCACATGAAGTCTACGTACTCTGTACGGAACCCTGAACCCAAACTCCCGCAGCCCAAACATGAATCCTGAGTCCCAAAGCTCCCGTAAACGTCCGTAGTCAAAGGAAGCAGTCTCGAGCCCCAGCTGACACTCGCATTTCGAAGCCCGACACTGTAGGTAGGGCTTGGGGTCTTTTAGGGCTTGTATAATAGTACAGAGCCTATAGGGTGTTTAGGGTCAGAGTGTCTTCCGGGAGCCCGGATCCTGAGCCGCCTACGTCCTCACGTAGGAAACTTGCACGCGGCACAGGCCGATGATTGGCAATGTCATGGGGTGACCCGTCTGAGTTCGGTAGCTGCTGTGGACGAGCATATATATATAGAGAGAGAGAGAGACATCAGACTATGCATGCTTATGTATAGCTTTATGACATTTATGCTGTTATACTCGTTACATACACACAAACGCATGCATGTCTGTTTACTTTCTGTTTACAAACTTGTTGTTGTATTGCCAGTGCGATATTCCAATGCCGGGGCAATCTCGTCAGGGGCCGTCAGAGAGACCTAAGAGCTTTTGGAAGCTGGAACCATTCTTGATGATGGCGGCAGGTAACTTTGAGTCTTATCGCAAGAGGAATCGAGAGCAGATGACGCACCCATACTGTGTTGAAAATTGAAAGTTGCATCATGCGGAGGGCCTGGAAGGTTTAATGTTCAGAGCTGCCCATTGTTTGAAGCTGCCAGATATATGTATATAATAATATATATATATATATATGTATATATATGTGTGTATGTATATCGGCATCATATTCAGTGGCTTTTTCTAGCGCTTTCAGGAATCCACGTGGATATATTAATCATTTGAATAGGAGGGTTTTTGGTGTATATTATACCATAATTATAATAAGGTGCCCCTAAACTAGTATTGACAATTGTTATTGCTGGAGCAGCCTTGCCATGAATGAAGTGGAAGAGGGGTTAGATCGTAGAAGAACTTAGCCCTACCCGAAAACCTGGAAGTCGACTTAAGAGATCCATGACTGTCAATGCTTGCACAGACCAAGTGATGTGCCTCCGATGGCGTGTATCAGCGGAAGCCCTTGTCCAAGCCAGGACTTGGCTCCGAAGTCAGAGTCGAATGTTTGACAGACATATTATCATGGAAGCCAAGTTGGGATGAGCGGCTCGACACGGCAATAATGAGAATAGCACTAATAATAGTAGTTATAGTAGTAACTATGAAAGTTATAGCAATAACAAACAGAACCAAAGCAACCTGTATCACGATTGCCCAAGCGCCTGAAAAGGCACAGGCCTTCTTACCTCATCGCCAGCCTGTGGGCTAAGGGCACCCATCATCGATGGAATAGAGCTCATGTCAGACCTCTCGTATCTCTGAGTTTTCTGCTCCAACAACAGTTGGATGTGTCATTCCAAGCGCTCCCAAGGGACGTCTACCTGGCTTGCGGCCACAACTGCTGGGGCATTCTCTGGGGCAGTTCGGCCGCAGTCGGTCTTGACCTTGAAGGGGCTTCCTTCAAAAACACCTTGTTGCGGATCTTCATGTCGTAGTTCATGATAAAAATCCCCAAGCCACAAACCCTAAAATTCCTTAAGCCCGAAGCCCTGAAGCCCTCACCCCCAAGCCCAAAGCAGCAAGCGCCTAAGCATGCATTCTCGCAGCTGGCCTGCTAGCAGCATCCCCAGGGAGCCCTTTACCCAGTCTTTGGGTGCTCTCTGGATCCTGACAACCCCTGACCCGACACTGCTTGCAGCATGAAGATGCGACACCTCGCAGGGACCATTATATGCCTTAAAGCAGAAACGGGGACCCTATGTTTCAATGCGCATATCACGCACGTATATACTGTGTGCATATAGCTTATATGTACATATACATCTAACTATGTGTAAACAAAAACAAATATGCAATATCTTTCTTAGCAAATAAATACACAAAAAGACTGATATATATATATATATATATATATATATATGTATATATGTATATATATATATATATGTATGTATGTATGTATGTATGTATGTATGTATGTATGTATGTATGTATGTATGTATGTATGTATGTATGTATGTATGTATGTATGTATGTATGTATGTATGTATTATATATGTACATACTTTCATGTGGTTGTGTACATACATGTATATATATATATACATATATGTGTACACATATGTCTCTCTCTCTCTACCTGTATATTCGGCTCGCTGGCTCCCTACAGACCACGGCCCAAGGCCCTCTCACGGGCCAGATCATGGCGGACCTCGTCACAGGACGCATTCCCAAAGAGTCCTAAGTAAGGAAGCCTCAACCCTCAAAGTAAGAGGCATGTAATTTCCTGCTTTGTCGTGCGGAGCAGAGAAAGAGCCAGTGCACCTTAAAGGAAAAGTAAGTTCCAATTATATATTACGAAAAAGGGATTCTGCAGTAGGAACTGCTATTATGGGTAAAGGTAAGTATCCCCCCTATACGTACCTACCCTAATACTCCTGGACCCTCGTAGTGAGATCCCAAACCTTAGCCCCCAAAGCCCAAAACATCCACGAGAGAGCCCCCAAGCCGTCTTAGGAGCCTTAGTCTAAACCCTAAAACCCCAAACCCTAAACCCCCAAACCCTAAACCCCTAAACCCCAAACCATAAACCCCTAACCCTAAACCCCTAAGCCCTAAACCTCCCAGGTGGAACCCGGTGTTAGGGTAGGGCCCTTTAAGGGGTTGGAAGGAAACATACCACCTCGGAGGTTCGGAGAGTGCGGGACCCGACGGTAGCACCCCAAATATTCGAAGGGGCTACCAGTATTATATCCTTAGGGTCCCTTTTTTCATGGTTGTAGTGTCATATACTCGAAATACACCCCAATTCCCATCCTAAGTATGAAGGGCTCTTTGTGGGTAGAATCATGATTGCCAGGATCCTAAGTCAACTGCAAGTGGCCCTAAACCCAAACAAAACCTGTAAAACCCACACCCTTAAACCTTCTTCAGCCTTTCCAACTCCCCTAGGGTTCAGGATTTATGGTTAAGCGCTGGGAGATTCAGGGTTTGGGGCTCACTGTGTAGGGAGTTTAGGGATTTGTACGGACTGCCTGAGAGTGAACCTATGCTTTTTCTGATTTTCTTATGCACCCTTAAAGGGAAGTTCTTTAGGCTCCAGGTAGGGGATAAGCCCAAACAGATGATGCAATGCAGCATCATCGCGCAATCCCGCATTCAAAGAGCTTCTCCCTGAACTCTACTTGGAGGGGCAGGGGACTTAGTAAGTATGGTTATAAGTAGACTTATAAGTACCCTAAATGGAGTTACCCCAATTATAACCCTACCTTATAACCTACTTACTAAGTCCCCTGCCCCTCCAAGTATTCAACCCCCAAAGTTCGGAGCAAGCCTTGCTCTCTGGGATGCCAGGAGCGCAGCCCTCCGTGCCACTTGCAGCCTTCGATCCGCAACCTGACTGTGGAAGTAAGGTTACTATAGGGGCCTAAAGAATTACCAATATTACTTCGGGGGCTCCTTATGGTGATTATACGAAAATGCGCCCCACAACCCGAGGGTGTTCAGGTGTCTGCTTTCAGGTTTCGACTCGAGGGCGCCGGTTTTTCTGGAGGAGGAAGTCAGCAGGTCATGTAGTTCATCCCGAATCCCGCTGTAGACCTGCTTGCAAAGCTCCCTGATCCTTTGATCCTCAACACCGGTCCTAAATCGCTAAGCCCGTAGCCGTTTTCCCTATACTCTAGACTCGTAACCACAACGTGTTTACCCGAAACCTTTTGGGACGCTGTATAGGGCCTAAGGATTCTCCGGCTTACGGCATTTTGTGTTTATCCTCTCTTCCAGTATTGGGTTGCAGCACTCTCCTTACAGCTTTGCTGAACAGCTCTCAGCTTGCGAAGGGTCTTTTGCCTTTATGGAGAGATGCCCAGTGCTTGCATCCCCGAAATGCTGCACCCTAGGTGCACGTTTCAAGTCTGGTTGTAAGTACCTTATGAGGGGCTATAAGCAGTTGTAAGTGAGCTAGCCTTCTGTCTATTAATCCTAGCTACTAAGTCCGATGATCCTGTACAAGATGTCCGCCCCATATCTGGTATTTCTGGAACAGGATTGGTAGCTTCGTATTAATTAAGCCTTGACTACAGCTGAAAAGAGTTTGTTTCTCAAGAAATACATTGTTGCATAATATAGGTGTCTTAGTAATTACCTATACTATCTTGGGGGTTCCTTACCTTACTACAATGCACCCTTTTCTAATTATTAAGACCCCTATAGTAAGTGTGCAGCAAAAACTCTGGCGGCCTCGATACATACATCACCCGGGATTCCTTAGAAGTCTCGATGATGCGTGCCAAACCTGACTATGGTTCCCTAAAGTCTGAACGCTAAAAACAAACCCTTAAACTTCCTTAAGCCCACAAACCCTAAACGCTGACTTGGAATTCACTGCAGGCTGCGGTTCGCGCCGCGCGCAGCGAAAAGAGGTCGCCACATGGTGAGCCGGCCAGTCGGCGAGCAGTGGTAGGACCGTTTTTCAGAATCGGAGTTTCCGACAGTAGGGGACCCTAAGATAGCACCCCAAACAGTAGGATCCTGATTATAAGGACCCCCGAATAAGGTAGCCCGATTTTCGGAAATTCCCGTACGCAGGAGGTTACCTTCGCCAACAGCATGATAACAACATCACTGCTCTGTCTGATAACAAGAGTCCGCATTGATCCTCTGGATCATGATTTGATTGACTCCGTCGTCGAAACTCCGGAGAGCTGCGGAGAGAAAGAAGTATGTTGATTGGATATTGCGGACTCAGAAGTTCGTGGCTTCAGCACTGTCAGGTTTGCAAGTTGGGGCTTTGGCATGTATTGAGCACTGCCAATAATTTGAAAGTCTAAGGTGCTTGTAGCTGCCTTGCGGCCTTCGGCTTTTGCGGTACAATAGGGGCCTAAATTACCTATACTATTTTGGGTGGGTTCCTTATCATACCTACAGTAAAATGGGCCCCAAAGCCCTATTCTAATCATTAAGGCCCCTACATTATAGTCCGGGTGGTTCAGGGTTTGGTTTTAAGGTTTAGGTTTTGGGCGGTTGGGGGCGTGCCTTCGACACTGCACGGTCCAAATCTCCTAAGCCGCAACCCTAAACCGTAAACCCTAAACCTAACTACACAACCTTTGGAATCCGTTTTATGCTCAATGCCCACGATCTTCGATTGCAAGCCTACTTGGAGGATCATGGGCCTTAGTAACTAGGGTTATTATCGGGGTAACTATACTTACAACTCCTTATAACCCCACTTAAGGTACTTATAACCATACTTAGTAAGTCCCCTGATCCTTGAAGTAAATCCAGACCCCGCACGCCAAACCGTCGGGCCGAAACCCCCCCAAACCTAAGCCTTGTCTGAGTAGCCAAGGCTTCCCACAGAGTCCTATAAACCCCTTAGTTAAGGAATATACCTTAAGTTACAATCTGAACCCTACAAAGAATTGAAGGCATATCCCGTAGTTTAGGGGTAATGGAATCCCCTAAACCCTAAACCCTATAGACCACTTTTAGGAACCCTCAAAGGAGCCCTTATAGATCCCTTTAAAGTAAAAGCCAGAAAGTTGGAATATGATTATCCTAAGCCCTTTATGGTAAACTATAAGGTATCCTACCCTGAAACCATATTCCAACTTTCTGGAGTTCCCCTAAACCCTAAACCCTAAACCCTAAACCCTAAACCCTAAACCCTAAATTCCCTTTAAAGGAACCCTTAAGGGAGGAGTCTCGGGTTCCGTTCGGCATCTGACTGAGGCTCTGTTTTTCAGCGGAGCACAGACTTTCAGATTGAGGGCTTCTCTAGGGATCGAAGGGCTCATTCGTATATAAAGATATGTATATATACATGTATATATATATATATATATATATCAGTACATATTAATACACATGTATATTAATATATATATATATATATATATATATATATCATTGTATATGGTTTAATTGAGGCTTTTGGTCCCAACGACCATACTATGTAAGGCTATTGGGCTAATTTGATGCCCAGGGGTTTTGTGTTTAGGCTATAGAATTTATGGTCTAGGTTTAGGGTTTAGGGTTCTAAGGTTTGGGGTTTGGCTGTTAGGGTTGGGTGCAAGAAATATGTAGAGGGTCGAATATACGCATGCAAGAGTCAGGAAGGAGTGTGAGGCTTCTCTGTTGTCACGGCTTCACATGTAGGAGTATCCGAAAACAGGGGACCCAATATAGTGCCCTAAAGAGTAGGATCCTCGTTATGAGGACCCCAAAATTAAGGTCCCCCCTTATTTTCCGAAACTCCTAGTTGAGCCCTCGATGTTTGCAACTTGGGTCTTAACAAACGAACCCTAAACCCTTAACCCTAAACCCTTAACCATAAGCCCTAAACCCTTAACCCTATAAACCCTTAACCTAAACCCTAAACCCGAAGCCACACAGGTGGAAAAGAGCCCATTAAAACAACAAAAAAACGAAGCCATTGGAAACTCTGGACTCGAAGACGTAAATGCCAGAATCTGGAAACACGTCGAGTCGCAGTCCCCAACATCGAAGAAGCAATGGTCAAACATTGGGGCCTTAAGAACTACCTATACTATTTTGGGGGCTCCTTATTATAATTATAGTAGATGTTGAAAACAAGAGGCCTAAAGAATTACCTGTACTATTTTGTGGGGCATATACCCGTCAGCTTTAGAAGCCTGGGAGCCTTGCACCCGAAACCCTAACACTCCAAGCCCAAAGTCTCTAACTCAGCCCTCAGTCTCTAAGTCTCTACTTAGAGGATCATGGGACTTAGTAAGTATGGTTGTAAGTACCTTAATTAGGGTTATAAGTAGTTATAAGTATAATTACCTTAAGAATAACCCTAGTTACTAAGTCCCATGATCCTTTAAGTAAACCAGAAGTCCCTCAGTCCCGAAGCCCTAACCCCAAGGGTCCAAAGGACCCAATAATTAGGTAATTACTCGGTTTGGGGATAGTAGTTTTGTAGGTTGGGATTTCAAGGAGAGTATATGATTATCAGGTACTTGGACCCTTGGGGTAAACCCCGCTAAGAGCCTCCACGCAGGGCGATCTCCGGGGAGCTGGGCTTCCGCAGCTGAGGCACAGTTTAGGGTTAAGTTTGAGGGAAGAGTTTGCCCATTTTAGGGTTTAGGGTGCGTCAGCGTTTGGTTTAGATTTCAGCCTGTTGGCTTTGAGTGCAAGGTTTCGGGTTCGCGGTGTGGGGTTGCAGGGCTTGGGGCTTAGGGTTGAGGTTTCCAGGTTCAGGGCCTAAGGTAGGGCCGACCCTAAACCCTAAACCCTAAACCCCAGCTGTCCGTTGACGTTTCTGATTCTACCCGACAACGCGAGCACTCTCGTCCAGCCCCTCCGACCGAGACTACGTACGTGTTGGTATCATTACCTGGGTTTGGAGTACCATACTTGAATACTTTCTTCTGGTACCTGTTCCTTAAAGGAACCATTATGAAATAAAAGTCTGTACTTTTTTCTCCCTGGTTACTTCATTCAAAGTCCAGATTATGCCTATTCTTACGAGCATTGCGGTCGGATGGACCAGACACCAGAATAAGACCTTAACTAGATTCGTCATCACAGAGTTCTATTGATGTCAGGAAGACACAACTGCCCATACCGGTTACAAATTTCTGAATGTCGAAGCCCAAGCCCTGACGCAGGAAAGGGGGTGCACTCTACGGTCCCGGCCCTGGATATTCTGCGTTCTGGTTAAAGAGTTTAGTTTCAGTTACGATTATAACGGAAACCGTAGCATGTACCATGGCTTCCAGTCATGGAAACTTGAGTTCAGTGCCTTGACAGAAAAGACCCAGTATTTGGGGGTGCTTTCTGCGAAGGGTCACCGGCTCAGGGACTTGAAGGGGGGGTTTGATGGCTTGAAGCCAGCAGGTTCACCGAGATTTGGGGGGTGATGAGGGTCGGAGTTCAGGCGCTTTAGGGCTCAGTAAATAGCTTTAGACTCTTACTCACAGTGCGTTCCTATCAGGGATGACAGAAGTGGGGTTTTTTGACATGCACGAGGAGCCGCAAGCAGAACCGAAAACAGGTTTCTTAACATGGATTTCCACGAAGCAGCAATCCTAAAGCACGGGCTCGTGTAGAGTGTAGAGAAAGCATGTCGCGACTCGGGCCCCAACAGAAGAGCATCCAGCCTTGTCCGTGCTAGGCAAGATGGGGCTGCGCGTGCGCTTTGTCAGGTGCGACGCCCTGTTGACTTCAGCTGGCTTTCCACATCATTTGAACAAAGTCAAGAGCCACAGGCGCATCACCATTACTATGACCATGATCATCGCGATCAACGTCGCCATACTGCCATTACCGTCATCATTACCGTCATCATCCTTCTTACAGGTTTATTTCAATCACAGCAAAGCAGCAATTGAAGTCTTTCCTATGTAGCAGCAGTAGTAGTGGCAGTAGTCGCCGCCGTGGTCGCAGAAGCAAGCAGCAGCGGCAGGAGCAGGAGGGGAGGATGAGGAGGAAACAATAGCAGTAGTAGTAGCCGTTGTAGTAGTAGTAGTAGTAGTAGTAGTAGTAGTAGTAGTAGTAGTAGTAGTAGTAGTAGTAGTAGTAGCAGTAGCAGTAGCAGTAGCAGTAGCAGTAGCAGTAGCAGTAGCAGTAGCAGTAGCAGTAGCAGCAGTAGTAGTAGTAGTACTAGTAGTAGTAGTAGTGGTAGTAGTAGTAGCAGCAGTAGTAGTAGTAGTAGTAGCAGCAATAGCAGTGGCAGCAATAGCGGCAGTAGCAGCAGCAGTAGCAGCAGCAGCAGCAGCAGTAGCGGCAGTAGCAGCACTAGCAGCAGTAGCAGCAGCAGTAGCAGCAGGAGCAGCAGCAGCAGTAGCAGCAGTAGCAATAGCAGCAGCAGTATTTGTATAAGGAGTAGTTGTAGGAGGAGTAGTAGTAGTGATAGTAGCAGTAGCAGCAGAAGCAGCAGTCGTAGTGACAGCGTAGTAGCAGCACTAGCAGCGTAGTGTCAGTGGTATTGTTGACGGTTCTCTCTTTGATTTGACCAGCAGACACATGAAAACTAGTACCTTGCTTCAGTTGTCGTCTCTACAGATGTACCTGTCGAATAGCTTTGTAGCTGTTGATCTTCGTCTTGGCCAGTTCTCCGGTAACAGCATGCTGTTGCTTTAGAGCTTAACAGCCCCAGACCTAAACTGAAACCCCGGGCCCTTAGATCTGGAGCTTCGGAAACGGCCACTCGAAGCGCAGGGCGAGCCCGCTGCTCATGCGCCTGGGAAACCGCGGCCAGGTGGCCTTGGGCTGGAAGTTTTGTTACTGCTGCCAGAACTTGTATTTCTATGATTACTCTTACGTACTCTGGTCATTTATTTCTCATTGTCAGGGTCAGTGCTACAGCTGTCTTGGATGGTGGTGATGATGGTGATGGCGGCGATGATCTGATGTTGATGACTGTTTTTTTCTTACTCTTACTTTAACTGTCATCATCATTATATTTCCTTTTACAGTTGATACCTCTCATAT